ATTCTGACTTCACCCATTTACTGCAGAGGATCCATTGGTGAGCAACTGACTATTTTTGAGTGAACTATTCCTTTAATCAGGTGTAATATGTGTGAAATGATTCTGGCAATACACAATAAATTACGTTTGTGTAATAAAACGTTTTAAAAAAAAACATTTACAAGAAAATGTATTTGATGTTCATGTGTTGTTTGCCTTCTAATTAGTTGGTATTTATTTTTTAATATATTTTCATTTCTAAATATATTTTCATAGGAATTGTATATTATTAATGTATACATATTGGTATTTTTGGGGTAAACAATCTTGACTCTTGGGGGGGGTTGTTTTGCTTTGTTTTCTTAGTGCCACTGCCAAGACAGGATAAAGGGCTTTTTGTGTAACTCAACCTCATTCAAGTGTCGGTTAAGCATAAAATGGATACAGATTTACATTGTATGTGTGGCATAATCATGACAGGTTTTTCTGGGTGTGTGTTTTACGTGTGTATGTGTGTGCCTATGACCTGTGTGAGTGATGTTTTGTGTTTGTGTGTGTGTAATCAGTGTATACATGCATGGGAAAGCTTATCTAGGTGTGTGTGACAGTGAGGTTTGAGTGACTATTAATTACTCCAGTGCATTGGAGACTCACCGCACAGGCTTTGCTGGATAACGAAGTCAAACTCCTGATGCTCTTTTGCCATCACCACCCTATAACTGTCATCATGTCATCTAACCCTTCTGTACAAAGCTGTACTCCAGTCTTCAGTGTCACAGGATCCTTTGGAAATCATTCTAATATGCTGATTTGGTGCTCAAGAAACACTTCTCATTATCAATGTTGAAAACAGTTGTGCTGCTGTTTGATATTTTTTTGTGGAAACCATGATGCATTTTTCTCAGGATTCTTCGATGAGCAGAGTAGAGTAGAAAATAATCAGAATTGATTTAAAATGGAAATCTTTTGTAACATTATAAATGTCTTTACTGTCACTTTTGATACTTGCTGAATACAATTAAATAGTAAAATTAATTTCTTTCCAAAAGAAAAATCTTATTGACCAAACTTTTGAATGGTAGTGTGTGTGTGTGTGTATGTATATATATGTATATATGTATA